AGAAAGTTGGTAGACTTTTTGGACAATAGAACGTCTTTCACTACAAATTTCATACTATGTACCACAGTAGAAAATGTAGGGAAGTTTTATGTTTTCTCAGGTGCAAGTATCTGCAGTGTGGAAGGGAATTGCTCAAATGCATCAGGGAAGGCTTCCTGTGTATCTCAGAGGAAATAAATAAGAGACGCAGGTGTATGTTTTATACCTTACAAATGTGCATATCTCAGGCAAAACATTTTTTACTAAGATTCTGGAACTATTTTTTAACTTTAATTAGTACAAAAGCTGACAGACTCTTACACCCCAAGTAAGCCCGTGGGAAGGACAAACGATGGACTTTATAAACTGTGTATAGTTTTTTCACAAGATTTAGGGAAAAGATGTCATTGTCATCCTCCTCTAAATAACTCGATCTTTCAAGGGGCACTCAGTCAGTCACAGATGAGAGGAAACTTGCCTGTCCTCCTGATCTTTAGTGGAGTCACCCGATGAAGGCGTGATTAGCTTTCTCTCTCTTTGTCATTATTCTGCAACAGTGTAGTTGTTAAATTCTTTTGTTTTCCTTCCACAGCGAAGGCAGTCCATCTACTATAAGGTCAGAGATTTGTGGATAGATCCCTGCTTACTTTGTTTGGAATTGATCTGTATTGTCCTTCTTCACTTTAGTTTATGTAGGTGAAAAAAAAAGTGGGACAAGTTTCAAAAACCATCTCATTCGATATATTTATATTAAATTAACTTGTACCCTAAGATTTTTTAAAATCCTCTTTAAAAAATGCTTTGTATATTTACAAAATCATTAACCTCCCTTTCATGGGAAAATCCCAAGACACCCCTTCCCTCTGGATTGTTTACTGAATTCTTCTTTTCTTGAATGACTTTACTGAGCTCAGTAACTTGTCTAGAAGTTTCTCTGGTTCATTCTCTTCAATGGTGTTATCTATGAAAATGGCCAGGCTGCCTGGATGGCCAGATAGGAAGCCAGTGACAAGCAGAAAATATTAATTTAGAATGTTCAGTTACTGGGTGACTGGGATGTTATTCGTTTCCCCTGCAATGAAGATTTAGTAAAATGAAATCATTATTGATAAAAAGGTTCTCATGCCTCGCTAGAAGGAATATATTTTTGCCTGATTTTTGCCTCTAACTACCCTGTCCTCGGCCTTCCAGCTGCTGGCTCTCATGGTTTGCATTCTCCCTCCCCTTCACATAGTCCTAAGAAGCCCACATTGGACTCACAATAACCTTTTGGGACTATAATAAAAGGAAATCAACATCTGGGCCTGCTGAGCCATGGAGTTCAGTACAATGCCAAAGTCTTAACAACTCATGAGGGTGTCATTAGGCTACTGGTTCCTTCAGCTCTATTCTATACCGAAAGAACCTCCATTCTCACTAATTTTTCTTGGACCTTTAAAATATTATATTTCTACTACAATACTGGACTTCACCAGGCTCTGAAATTCTAAGAAAAGCAAAATTACAGTAGCCCCAGAACTCTGATCCATTCTTGGGGCTGCCTGAGAGGGACATGTGCCGCCATGGGGCTTGAGCTCTCTAAGGTTGCCACCTTCTGTAGGGCAGCCTGGAATTAGCTATCTAATTCCCTGAGAACTGTAGGACACTTCTGAAAGATGTAACCACAGATAAGAGTTAGAGCCATAATTACCATTTATCTCTAAATATTTCAAGGAATGTCTTATTTAACACTTAAGCTTACTAAAGATGATACAGAATTTAGAAAAGAAAAGAAAAGAAAAAAGGCCAAGCTTCTGAAGGATCTTGGTCTCAATCCTATGTTTTTAAAGATAAAGGAATTAAGTCCTACGGTCTTTGTATCACTTATCTAAGGACAGGGGGTTAGTAAGGGACAAGCAGGGCTAGCTGCCTCTTTTCTGAAATCACCTAGCTGCCAGCACAGTTTTGGCCCAGCAACCTAATATGATATAGCAAGAGGGAAGTCTGAGGGAAAGGGAAACTGTGTCCCCAACTGCCCTGGGCACTGCCACTACAGAGTGGGTAACTTTTCTAGACTCTAGAGGACAGTGAAGTGATTTTAGAGTGAGATGTAGAGACCGGAGAATTCAGTTCTCTGACAAACGTTGCTCCTTGCACTCCACATGAAAAATAAATAAATCGAATTAGTTTTGAACAAGGCTAGAAGGAAATGTTAACTTTCTCACTGGTCTGGGGTTCGGTCCCACCACAATTCCTCTTTCCTCACCAATACCCTTGGTTCTTCCTCCTTAACTGGGACCAGGAAGTTTCAAAGGCACTTTTCTTCTCCAAAAAACAGTGTGAGATGTTCAGGGCAGCAAAATTCCAAATCCTTCCCTTTCTCTCCATTCTGGGAAATGGTTGTCTGGACTGGATGGAGGGAACAGGTTGGATGGATTATGATCTCATCTGTCAGGACTCCAGGCTATCTACACAGATGAGAATCCTGAGCCCCAGGGGAGCCCTGGTTGGGGATTGTGTCTTCATTTTTAATCACTTTCCCACCACAATGCTTTTGTCACTGAAAGGACCTTCATAAGTTCTCTTTCCAAAGAGGCAGGTTTCAAGAGGCCTAAAACAACAGAAGTCCCTGAAACCAGTCCCTTAACCAAGAGGGACAGAGAGTTTCCAGGATGGGAACCAAAGGGGACTGATGTCCAAGTACCCCCTGCCTCCCAGAGCCAAACATCACCCACCCTCTGTGACTGCCCTTTTTCACAAGTGCCCAACATCTTCTCCATTTTTAGTTCTAAGGTCTCCTTCCAGTGTTTCAGTCCTTGACCTAGGAACTGGTTTTCCAAGATATTCTTTAAAGAGACCTAGCATTCACACTCCAGTGATGGTTCATTCTCCCACTCAGCTCCACTCTCCACCCCAGCCACATCACCCAACCTAACCTCTCAGAAACTGGAAAGGAGCCATGTATAAGAAGTGGTGTGGTGCTTATGCAGTGTAATGGCCAGAAAGAGTCCTGGTTTCTACAGGTTCAGTGACCGCAGTGGAAGCAATGAAGATGATGGGTGATTAAGATGGGGAAGATTTGAGGATGGAGGGATGGCTCAGTGGTTAAGAGCACTGATTGCTCTTGCAGAAGACCTGGGTTCAAATCCCAGCTAACAACTGTCCATAACTCCAGTTCCAGGGGATCCGACGGCCTCGTCTGTCCTCCACAGGCATTGCACGACACAGGTACACTTACCTATATGCAGCCAATACAAACATACACATAAAATAAAAATAGTAAACAAAATATTTTTTTAAAAAGTTGGGGAAGATTCTCTCTCTAGTGACAGGCCAGATAGAGGCTAATGGATCAGATGCTGAAACTCACCCAGGAGCCCAAATGAAATCTAAGGCATTGTATGTAGTCTTTTAGACAAAGTTTAAAAGCTGAGGAGGTCTTTGCTGACTCAGGGGATTAGCAAGATCCCTGCAAGCATGAGCTATATCAGAGTTTAGGCAGGGTTTGGGACAACTCCTTCTCTCTTTTTCTAAATTTGTTCACTCCCCGGGCCTTTCTCTGGGAATGGGAGGTGGTCTGTGAGAGGCTGTAGCATGCTTAGTGCCGCACGATGGTTGCAACCTTGCCAGGGATACAACTGAATGTTGGTTTATCTTGTTCTCTTCTGTAACGTAAGTCAGTTGCTGACATTTTGTCCATGGGTGAGACTGTGGCCAGAGATGTTTCTGCCCTGATCACAGCTTTAGCAGGTCCCTTATTTCGCTATCTCAAGTGGCTAGGCCACAAAGATAATTCTGCCAAACCAAGAAGAGGGATGTGGAGAGGACTGAAGACTGGTAGGAAAGCCCCAGGTCTTTCCTAGGATGGTGAAGAAATAACTGGACACTGTGATTCCAAAGAGAAAGGAAAACAGTAAATCATTTATTTCCAAATAAAAGAGCAGAATGGAGGTACATATACACAAGCTTTGGACAAGAAAGGACAATTCTTTTTATTTCATTTACATTTACATGTTTTCGAGAAGTTTATGCCTCAGCTTTCAACTCTGTTTTTATTCCACAATCACAGTCAAATACACAACAACTTTTTTCTTTCAAGTTGGTTCAGAATTTAACTGATGCTAAGAGGACAGATTATAAACCACAAACACTGTAGATAGACAAGGTGCCAAATAAATGATCTAAGGGTTGACTCAGATTTAGGTGTATGTTAGTTATGCTTATAAAATGTTTGCCTAACTGTATAATTCACATTCATCGCAATCATTATATGTTCCCATAAATTAGCCATACAAACAGACATATGGAGAGTCAAGCAAACAAGCAAAATCAATATGAGACAACATTTTGCAGCAACTAGAATAATCACACGGGTCACAGGTTGGGGAAAGTTCTTCACAAATCATTTAGTTAGCACGTGGAGTGGGGCAATGGGCACATTCTCACTTATGTAAATCACCCTTAAAACTACAATAGGAGGTTGAGAAAACTTGAACAGGGGCAAAGTTTCTTTCTAGGCACAATATAAAATGAAGAACTGCACATGGGAAAAGGGGTTGGCATTTGCATGCACTTTTTGGTCACTATCTTGTAAACCAAATCGTCTTAAATCCTAGACTATGAAGAAAACAGGAAAACATAAAAATGTTTCTCTCCCTCATGCCACTATCCCACCATCCCACCATCCTTCGGGTTAATGACAGAAAGGGTGTGCTGGTTGGTGCTAATGATAAGAAAACTCATTGATCTATTTATAGCAGAAGTTGCCTTGAAGAAGGGAAAGCTTAAAACATTGCTTGTTTGCAGCCTTAAGTTCCAAGAATCCCAGGCAAGAATACTTGGAGCATAAATAAGGATCTCCAAGAGAAGTTAGTCCAGTTTAGCACACCTGGGCTTGGTGTAATGCAGGTCAGAAAACAAACACAACAGACTCAGGAGCATAGACAGGCTATATACCCTCTGCCTGGCCCCTCCCTGCATCACCCAAGGTCCCAGAGTTGGTGAGAAGGGCCTCACCACATCTGCACAGCTGCGTGGCCCTGAGGGTTAGGCAGGGCTTCCCCCCAACCCCCTTGGCAAAGTGTATCCCTAAAGTTATCTCTTAGTGGAGCATGTGGATTTTTTTTTTTTAAAGAAAATTGATTTTATCTCTTTAGGAATGGTTTGAAACTAACAGGGCAAAGCAAAGTTTGACAGAGGGGAGAACAAATCGCTGACAAAGAACCTTTTACATTTCATCAGCGTTGTTAGGACGACAAGCAGGAATGTCTCAGATAATAACTCCCACTTCAAAGATTTTTCAGCTCAATAGAAAGCGGACCATCCTTTTTATTCAACCACAAGGACTGGCACTAAAGATGACTCCACTGTTTGATTTCTTTTCCACCATGTTTATTTTTCCTCTATTCACTAGGGTACTTGGATAAAATAAACAACAAGACAATTAAGGGAACATGGACTTCTAACTTTCCTGCCATCTTCCCTATCCCCTTGGCCTTGGGCTTTTCAGTGTTTGCCCAAGGCCAGCCAGACCTAAGGATATCACACAGAGGTCCTTGAGAGGGAAAAGTTTAAGGAGCTGTAAGAGACTTCCTGAACTGAGGCTCACAGTGGAACTAACTGTCTCTAGGGCATAATCTACCTTTCCCAGGTTCCCCCAGGCTAACCATCTTCCTCTGGAGTCCCTATTCAGGCCTGTACTGCAGAAAATTGAGCTAGGCTTGCTGCTTTGGCACCTTCACAGGTTGCCCTAGTCATTCACTCAGACTCTGGGGCCTCTTTGGGGCACAGTCAGGGCCCTCCTTTTCTTGAAAGAATCCCCAAAGTCTCCTATGTCAGGGTGCATCGTGAACCCCTAAATACTACCAAGACAGGTCCTGGGGAGGAAGTATATACTGGAGAGCACAGTGACAGTATTAAATGGCGTGAAAGCAAAGGTCAGCGCAAATGTATCTTAATAGAGTGTCTGCAGTGAAGTGTGCCGCCTTTGAAGCGGCCGCTCCCCGCGCGCATTTCCATGGCGAGCCTAACGCGGCATGCTGATGCACCGTCAAACTCACACTTTCAACCCCAAAACCCGACTCTTTGAACAACCCGAGCTTGATTAGACCTTTCTCCTTTTCTTTTCCCCTTACAAACCATTTCCTCGCCTTTAGAAACTCGCCATCAAACCCAAATACGCCCTCTGATCACCGCAGAAAGCAGAAACAAAGAGGGCTGAGCCTCGATTCAAGCGGCCCTTTTCTTCCCTCACATTATTATCCATTTTTATTATGATCGGGAACAAGTGCCCATTCGCGTGGGTTTTGTTTACCGGAAATTAAATGAAAATGATTTAGTCCGCGTCAAACAAAAATATATACTTGTATACACAAGAAAAAAGGCCTGTTAGACGTAAATATTATGTCCTTAATGAAAAGCCTGGACGGGCTCCAGGCCCGGCCTTTCAGGATTTCAGTGCGACTTGCCCATTGCCATAGAAATCCTAACTTACCATGAAGATGCACCGTGGCGAAGAAACACTGCTTTGTGAGCCGGCCCTTTGATGTCTCAGGCGCAAGATGTGGGCGCTCAGCTGCGCAGGGCAAGATTACCTTGCGAGCAACGCGGTGGACATCTGTAACAAGCAAATGAAAAATTAAAGGCTATTAGTGATCGATCAAACATTTTTATTTTGTTTCATTATTTTGGATTGGGGCAGAAGGCAAAATGGGGTGCCTTGAAATGGAAGAGAAACAAACAAGTCCTATCTGAGAAGGGGCCCTTCTTTAAAAATGGCAGCAGAAGCCGCAGGCTTCACAAATACTGTGTACCTTGGCAGGGAGGTTAGTGTTACCCTTGGGAAAAAGTTTTTTGCTCCCAACTGTCCATGCCAGGTGTGTGGGCAGTGTTGTGTCTCAACAGCAGATTCAGTAGACATGTATTTGGAAGATTCTGGTTCTATTAGGAGTAAGGAAAACCATCCCACTCCAGTTAAGACCTTCGCTCTATCTGATGGAAGGTATGGGTCTGTAGGACAGGAATGAGACATGTGTGAGGGATTCTGAGGAAAGTATAGCATGCTGCAGGGGGTTGGGGCTAGGAGTCTGATGTCCAGCTTTTATTTTATCTAATTTGTTTATTTTCTGTGGTGCTGTGGATAGTCCTGAGGTTTCAAGGGAAATAGGCAAGCCCTCTACCAATAAACTGTACCCCCAGCCTCCGGGCTCTGCTTGTAAAATTGAATTCCTTGGGGTCTTCTCCCCTCACACTCGTTTCCAAAGCCTTAGAGAACTGGGACAAGATTGTCAAACTTTCTTTCTGCCCCCGTTCTCTGCCCTTTAGTATTTTTCCATCTTCAAATCTCAGCTAGGATTTTATGGTGACTCTGTCTTCCCTACAGAAGGTGGCAGGGAAACAGGCCCCTATTTTCTCTCTCTCTTTGGGGGGCAATAATTGTGCAGGCCTTGCTCCCCTCCTCCATCAACATCTGTTTTATTCTGAGGACTTCATACTAAGTATATCAAATACGCTTTCACTCTTTAAGCCTACTGAATGTTTACTTGTATAATATTTAGTACTGTAGTTCATTTCTCACCCCCACTCCAGTCACTGAAAATAAGGCAAACGTTGTGTCCTTTCTGAGAAAGGCCATACCAAAATTGATGCTGTTCTCTAAGGCTTTGATTCAACAGTGGCATCAGCCAGCTCAACACCCTCCAGCTCCAGCACCCATAAGGTTGCATAGCAGTGCCTACATAGATGGGGGTGGGAATCCTAGAAGCTTCACAACTCAGGATCCTTAAAGGCTCTCTGGCAATCCTTTGTCTGTGCTTCCTGTAGTTTTAGACTCATTCCCTACCACAAGTGTCTAATGTAGATTGAGTTCAAGCCCAGACAGAAGACAGACACCCCAAGAGAACACCCCTTTACGACCTGTGTGTGTGTGTGTGTGTGTGTGTGTGTGTGTGTGTGTAAAGACTAGCTGAAGGAAGTGGAAAAGCAGGCAGGCAAAAGAGAAAATAAATGAAAGGCAAGAAAACGGTTGTGGAATTCTGTCTGCCCCTTCCTGGGTTCTGAACTCCTCCGGTTGGAACTGATGGAAGAGGGGAGGGGCAGGAGAAGGAGGCTGTGACTTTGAGGTGTGGAGGGAGTGGCTAGGACTATAGGAAAATCGGTTTCAACCTTCCCGTCCTACTGGGAGAACTTGTGGCTTTGTTTTTGCCACTTGCTGTTGCCGGAGTTGTGAATAAATTCTAATAGGTTGTGTTGTTTTATCTCTTTATCCCCGACATTGGTCTCACAGTACCCTGCCAAAAGGGCAAAGGGGCTACAGTGGAATAAATGTGGAGACTGTCTTAAAATAATAAACCTTCACTTAACGCACTCGATATCCTCTAGTAACATTCAATGGTGCTCTATCTACTTGCTTTCTTCCTTCCCTCCCTTCCTCGACTACTTCTTGAAGACTCAATAACCCTGCCTAGACTCGAAGTCGGGGTTAGTCAAACCCACACGTGTGAAGGCAGCCCTGGTACTGGAGGCGGCGGTGGCAGAGGCAGCGCCTGGACGTGTCACCAGGCTGGAGTGGAGGCGCTGCAGAGTCAGCCTCCACCCGGCCATGCGCCCTGACACACGTACCATTCACTCAGGTCCGTGCCACGCACAGCCACCGCTGCTGAGGAGGCTACCGGGGGCTCAGGGCTGAAGTCTGACGAGGGAGACGTGAGGGCAGATGGGGTAGCGGAGTCGTAGCCAGAGCTGGGTGGCGGCGAGCGACCATGAACTTTCATATGCTTTCTCAGAGAGCTGGGGTGAGTGTAGCACTTGTCACAGCCGCGCACCTTGCATGTGTACGGCTTGTCACTCGTGTGCACGTGCGAATGCTTCTTGCGGTCGCTGCTGTTGGCGAATCGCCGCTCACAGCCCTCAAACTCACACCTGAAGGGTTTCTCGCCTGGAGAGGAAACTCAGAGACATTAGTGGGTGCGCGCCATGTCCGCATCTCAGGGCTGCCGCCCCCTCCCACTCTTTTGTTTTCTGCAAAGGAGTCACAAAAGATTTTCAGACTTCACTTTCCTCTGAACTTTAAGTCCGGCACCCCCTCCCCAATTGCTCCTTCTCCAGCCCCCCCTTCCCGGAGCAAGCCCACGCAGACCTCCACCCCTCCCCCCGCGGCGTCTTGGGCCTAGGAATGGGGGAGGGTTCGGAGGAGGAGCGAGAACGACTCCATCTTAGTTTCATTCTTGGAAATCCTGTTCCACTCTCCTGTTTTCCTCCAACTTTTACGCAAGTGGAGGGAAGAAGCTCTGCAGTACAGTAGACTTGATTGAGTACCTCATATTGACTCGATTTGAAGTTACTGCCCCAAGAGCACTGCCCAGAAACCCACAAGATGCATACATCCTGATCCATGCTGGTGCAAACTGTTTCCTAAGATAGGTTTTGTGCAAGCGCCAAAGTGACGAAAGAATTTAAGAGGACGAGCGGCTGATGCAAACGGGTGTGCGTAAAGTGGGAAACATTTTGAGGAACCATTCACCTCGAAGGTCACTTTTCCAGGACACAGGGCCTTCTCCCTTTACCATTCATCCCCTGAAGGCAAACATTCGGCAACATTCTTCAAATCTTGCCTTATCTGTTAGGAATCTCTCCAGATAACGCTCTCCTAATATTTTATTATGCTGATACACCAGCCTCATCGAGACCCTGCCCTGTGTAGCCAAACGGACGGTGTTCGGTCAGTGAGTCTTCCCGGACCCTTCCCCACCCTCCTGTTCCACTTCCAAGGCGGAGCTGAGAGGCGAGTAGAGGAAGATGCTCAAGCTAGGCGGGATCTGAAGTCTTTCTGGAAATTGCTGCCCTGAGCCCGGCAGGCTTCCGGTAACCGGTCAGGCCAGGTCCTCTCTCTAGCCACCGGGAGGGCTGCTGGTCTAGGGAGAACTGAAGGAAGACGCGCCAGCGCTCTAAGCTGGGGGTATTGGCTGGACTGAGCCCCAATCCAAGAGCTCCCTGCTGCCTGAATTCCCAGGCTTGCGGGGGCGGAAAGGGCCAGAGAACCCAGAATTCCAAGTTCCTGGCTCCGCTAAATCCGTGGCGGGAAGGGAAGGGGGAGGTGACTGGGCTCTTTAAGCAAATGAATGTCCTGGAGTGCTCTAGGATGCGAAAGCTCTTCTGCCGGAGGCTGAAGAGCAAGTGCTGTTCAGCTCTGGCTTTTGCTGTCCCGTCTCCCGCCGCATCCAGGAAAGGCCAGAGCTTTCCGGCAGAACAAAGCCACCCCGGGCGGCGTGGGCGCTCCGGCAGAGCCCGAGGTTTGCGCACAGCCCGCCATCCGCGCCCGCGGCCGGTGACCCGGTGACTCCCGTACTGTCCCGTCCTACAGCTCACCCTTGCTGGAGTTCAGCTACTACACTAGGTCCTATGCAGGGTGTTACCTGCTGCCATTTTCACAGACCTCGGCAACCATCTTAGGGAAGTGGAGGAAAATGTGGAATAAATCGATGTTCCCACTTGTCCCCGCCTTTTCTCCTTAGATCCCTACCATCATCTGCAAACCCAAAACCCTCCTTCCTCCTCCCCTCTTTTTCTTTTTAAAATAACTTAGAAAAATCATTGCACTGAGGTCTACAAAAGAAAACAGTTTTACTGAGAAAAAAAAAAAAGAGAGGAGGAATAGAATTTGAAGGGGCGGGGAGAAAAACAAAATCTGCGGTACCCAAATCTCATCCCAGCTCCTCATGGAACATTCAAGTAAAATAGAAAATTCTTTCGCTCCAGACGAGGAGCAGAGCAGGCACCTGGGAGAGGGCAGCATCGGCACCGGACTTAGCTGACCCGGAGGCCAGGTGCGCCGCGCCCAGGCCTCCCGGCTGCCCGGGTCTCGGGACCCACGCGTAACGGGCCCCCGCCGCCAGGCGGCCGCCAGCCCTTCCCCTCCCCCAGGGCCCAGCCACGCAGGGGAGGGGGGTGAACTCGCGGCGCCGGGCTGGGCCGGGCCTGCAGCCCGCCGAGCCACCCCAGCGGGGCTCTCACCCGGGCCCCGCAGCTCGCCGGGCCTCGTCCCGGCCGCGCGCTGCCGAGTTCTCCAGCCTCGGCGTGGCGGGGCCAGCGCCATCTTCCCGTCCTTGTGGCGGGGTCTGCTTTCGTCTTGACTCCGCCCCGGCGCGGCCTGGGCGCAGACCGGGAGCCCCTGGCCCGGCTGACGGCCGCGGGGAAGGTGGGGAGAGCCCCGCCTGGGGGTCCGGGAGGGGCACCGGGGGTGAAGTCCGCGCTGCGCGCTCGGGGCCCGCGCCTCCCTCGTGGCTGCACCATTGTTCCAGGATCTGAAGACCAGCCAGAAACTGAAACCTTCCTCACCCGCCGCCTCCAAAGCCAGGCTGGGGATTCCGATTCCGGAGAATCTCAGCTAAGAAATCTGCTCCCGATCGCCGCTTCCGCGACTCGAGGAAATGAAAAGCCATTAATATTTGAAAAGGCAATTATTTTCCTGTTGACTCGAAAACTGTCTTCATGAATAATTTGTAAAGCGTTCTACTGCCATTTGAGAAACATTGGGTTGCTGCTCTGCCTCCTCCTTTCCTGCCCATTACTGAGGAGATTTGAGGGAGACACCGGAGCAGCGGAGGCTCTGTAGATTCTTTTTTTTTTTTTTTTTTTCTAAGTCAAGAGGTAATGAATCAGGACTGCGAACGAAAAGAACGCGCAGAATCCTGCCTGAGTCCATGCAAACCCGAGAGCCAGCCAGGCACCCACTTCCTGATGTAGGTCGATTGCGCTAAGAATTTAACCATTTTCTGCTTCACAGACTTCAAACAGTGGGGCTGCAAAGAGCAGTAAAAGTTTGTTTGCTTCAAAATCTCTGTCATTAAACATGAGTTCCTTCTCCAGCTGCGGATTGTGGATCTACTTTCCAGGTGCCGGCTGCCAACTCCCGGAGCAGCGAGCCTGAGGACTGAAATTAGGGTCTTACCCATCCCTCGGTCCCCAGGGATGTAACTTGGGGAAGGGGGAGGGGGGATGAAAGCGAGAGGGCGGGAGATCGCGGAACAAGCTCGGGAAAAGCTTACAAGAGGTTTTCGAACGTGTTCCTGGAATAAAGGACGAGATCCAAACTGTACTTTGGTCTTGCTTTGGCCTGTGCCAGAGTCCTACCCCTAAACTTCGTGGAGAAGGCAGTTTGGCGCGAGATTTAGTAAGCTCCATTTCCGGCTCTACAAGCCTAGCGGACTTCGACCCTAAAACAGGTTGCTGCTCTCGCAAGGCTTGCAGCTGGGGAAGATGCTGGTTGCAGAAGGGGAACACCCGGTTTGAACTCTTTGGGGCCCCATCATTCTTCCCTTTCCGGCCTCCAAGGTGGGGGAGGGGAGAAGACGCTGGCTTCTTAAACTTCAAGGGAGGGGGAGGAGTAAGGAGAATCAAACAGTGCCTGCTAAACTAATTAATGTAACTTCACAGGCTGCTCCGAAGTGGGAAAACTTTCTTCTTGCAATTGTATTAATTAGTGATGCTTCCGGCCAGAAGAGTTCAACTCGCAGCCTCCTGCACCGAGCTCCTTTCCTTTCTGTCACTAGAGCTAACAGATGTGGTTGACACATGTCCCTATTTCACTTAACAGCTCGGTAAATGACATTTAAGGCGGTGGGTCCCATTGGGTCTCTGCTAAAATAAGAGAGAGGTTTACCAAAATGTTCCTTCTCTGCGGCTAGTAATACAAAAACTGGGCAAAAGTTAGCCCTCAAGGCCCATACATCCTAAAGAAGGCGCTAAGGGGTCAGATGACCCCTCAGTCCAGGTGGTGGTCAGGTGGTAAGGCTACGCAGGAGGAGAGTCTCCAAAAGTGATCTGTAAATGTTAGACAATTGTTCACACTTCATTTAAAACTTTTGAGAAACAATGTTGTTTTTCAATGTCTTAAACTCCAGGGCCTGGCCATGTACTCAGTGGTAGAGTGTTTGCTAGAGTGCCCTGGGTTTAATTTCCAGATCCGAAAAATAATAAAATTAAATAAATAAAAACACAACGCCCTAAGCTAGGAGCATTCGTTTACCAAGAGGAATGGCAGAAATGTCGAGCAACCCTGTCCACAGCCTCCGGAAAACGGTGAGTTCAAGAACAGACGCTCTTGATTACCGTTTTATAGATTTGGCTCCAGGAAACAATCCCAAAATGCCTCCCCCTCCCCTCAGTTGGAATTTAAGGAAATTCAGACCCAAGGGCCTGTTTTCACATCTGGTCGCACGAGACAGACAGCGCTGAGTACTGACCTGTGTGTGTTCGTTTGTGTATTTTGAGATTTTCTGATCTAGCAAAGACTTTCCCACACCCGGGGAAAGGACAGGGGAATGGCTTCTCGCCCGTGTGCACGCGGATGTGATTTACAAGTTTGTATTTGGCTTTGAAGGGCTTGCCCTCGCGCGGACACTCCTCCCAGAAGCAAACGTGGTTAGCCTGCTCTGGGCCGCCGACGTGCTCCACGGTGACGTGCGTGACCAGTTCGTGCATGGTGCTGAAAGTTTTGGAGCAGGGGCGCTGGGGTACCGGGCCGTCAGCGCCCAGCCACTTGCAGATGAGCTCTTGTTTGATGGGCTGGCGCATGTAGCGGAAAAAGGCGCCGGGGCCATGGGGTGAGGTGAGGTTCATGGTCAGGTTCACACCGCCGTAGCGGTGCAGGGCGGCGGCTGCTGCCAGAGTGTCGCTGCGGGAGGTAGGCCCCAGCGCGAAGGCTTCCGGCCGCGCATACATATCTCCCGGGAGCCCCAGACGCAGGAGTCCGTTCACAGGACGGCTGTGAGGGGCCTGAGAAGGCGGCTCCTGAAGGCCCCGGAGCAGAGAGGGGTTCGAAGCGGCGGCGAGCTGGGGCCCATGGTGTCCAGAACTGCTACCTGTTGTCGAGACAAATAACGAGCATGAGACGCGGTGGCGTGGGCTGCGCACTTTCCCCGGCCCCCGGGGGGCAGGCCCTGCCCAGCCGCACTCAGGATGCTGCGGTTAGCACTGGGATCGAGAGCCGATCCGCGCCGGCAGCGAACCTGGCCGACCCAGCAAGGCCCAGATGCCTTTGCTTTGGTCTGGAGAGACTGCTGTTCCTCTGAGTTCCGGGGGCGCGTGGAACTGGAGAGGGGTGGGGGGTAGCTGAGGGGGCAGGGCCGGAGCTGTAGGTGCCGAGGGGCAAGGCATCCGACCTGCTCCTCGACAGCATTTTGTGGGCCAGCACCGCAAGGAGCTACTGGACCAAGGGTGCATGTCCTAGCAGCGGGCATTTCGGAGGTGGGGAATTCGGAGTTGCTGGTGATTTAGAAGCGTCCTAGACTTATACATTAACTCCAGTGCCCCACTGTGCCAGGAGAGGACTGCCTGCAGCATTCTGGCCTGGCAGCCGCCGGTGCTGCCGTTCTCTGGCAGCGCAGAGAAAGGACGACCAAAAAACTTATGCAAAGCGGTGTAGGTTTTGGGGGGTTCTTTTTGTTATTGTTTTTTTTTTTTTGTAGTTTTGGGTTTAGGCTTTCCCTCCTTCCCTTTCACTTCATCTTTAATGTCCGCGTGAAATCCTGGCCACTACACTGGCTGCAGCAGGGCGCTTAAAGAAATGAATAGATTGGGACCGCGACCGGGACCGTGCTGAGGAACAATCAGCTATGTCACCCATTGGTCCATGGCCTGCCCCGACGTCAGTGATGACAAGTTCTCTCTCTCTCCCTCTCTCTCTCTCTCTCTCTCTCTCTCTCTCCCTCCCTCCCTCCCTCCCTCCCTCCTCCCCCCATAGCATTTAGGCTTCTGCTCATGCGCTCTCCCCAGGCATGGACTCTTCTCTTTGCTGCAACTTCCTCCCCTCTCTCAGAAAACAAAAGTGGATCAGCTGCTATTCCCCCTCCCCCCAGCTCCGAGAAGTGAGCAGGGTTAGGTTATGCCTCTATTCGCCTTGACTTGGGGATAGGGAGTTAAGGGGGATCTAAAGACTTGTCAGTAGCTGAGAACCTAGGACCCTTGAGGTGCTAAGGAAGTTTGTCCTTGGAGCTGAAGTGAAAGGTGGGGACCAAGGCAGGAAAGGAGACTGCAGACGAACAGGGAAGCTCCAAGGAGAGCGAACCTGGAGCTCAATTTTTTCTTCCGTTCTCTGAAATTTCCTTCTCTTGATATTTCTTCTTTTCTTTTTTTGCTCTGATTACCCCTATCCTCAGCCCACCTCCACGCCACACTTTGCCTTTCTTTAGATCCTTTTGTCACCCCATCTCCTCAGCCCTTCTCTACTCTCTTCCCTTTAGCCCTGCTGGTCCTGCTCCTTGGTGACTGGCGGGCTCCAGGACGCCAGAGGTGGTGGTGACCTGAGGGAGGCTTGTCCGGAAGGAGCCCTTTTCTCTACAGTTCCCCTCTACCCTCGGGCAGAAAGTCCATAGTTACAAAGGCGCTGGGCCCTCAAAGCTGCGCGGGAGGGTCGGGGTCCAGAGACCTGAGGAAGAGTCTGCAATCACTTCAACTTTCAAATCCACCACTTGTTGCCTGAAGATGAAGCCTTAAACTCCGTCCTTGCTAGCTTTAGGACTCTAAATAGTGGTCGCCACACTTGGCAGGGCAGACTATAGAGGCTATGCGCGTCCCAGGCCTCCAGCCTAGAGCAGGAATCGCTACCATGGTTGGGTGAGGGAAGGCCAATTGAAGAGGATTTCAATTCTGGTTCAGTCGAGTGTGGCATAAACAGGAATGACTGCTCTTTGTGTGCGGCCCATCAGCTAGGGTCAGCTGCTTCCACTGAGTAAAAGGAGGTCCCCAGCCCAGCCCCTGACTGTTCCTTGTGGTCAAAAATGCCAGTGGAAGTGCTTGAACCTTCCTTATGGATGTAAAGCTTGTGTCCCCAAGGCACAGAAAGACAGGTTTTCAAAGAGAAGCTCTAAAAAATGAATAAAAGATCCCTTAGCCTTTTAAGAGAAGGGAGAAATTTGGGATAATTACAAGGAAAACTAATTTAGAATTGATAGACCTGCCTCCACCCATTCTCATAATTAGTAAATAAACTTATTTTGTTTTTGTTTTGTTTTTGAGACAAGGGCTCATGTAGCTCTGGCTGGTCTGGAACTTGTTAGTGGAGGAGGATGATTGTGAACTGCTGCTCCTCCTGCCTCCCATCTTCCAGGAGCTGGGATTATAGATGTGCATCACCACAACTGGGTTTAATGTGGTACTGAGGGTGGAGCCTAGGACTTTAGGAATGCTGCAAAAGAACTCTGTCAACTGATCTACAACCCCATGCCCTAAATAAGAGTTTTAAATTTTTAATAATTAGTTTATTTTCTAGAGCTTTTAGATTCTTCATTCATTGCTACTTAAGGCAAGAGATCTAGCAAAGAATTAACTTCCACAGTAATTTCTCTAGTCTGTGTTTCTCTGCTCCCCAAAAGGAAGAGCTTAGGACACTACCAACTACCAATGGATTTTGCCTAAGCACTAAACCTAAGTGTGTGTGTGTGTGTGTGTGTGTGTGTGTGTGTGTGTGTTTCAAGGGGGCGGGGAAAAGAACAGGGGCCTGTCAGACCCCTTCTGCTCTCTAAATGAAGGCCTTCCACAAGCAATTTAAGAACTTGACTGAGGATTTGTATTTTCCTGACTTTCACTATTTTATTTTCTAAATTTCGCCCTTTCTACAGCCAGAGGTCCTTCTGTCTGGTCTCTTGACTTATTTTCCCTTCCCCCTGGTCTTGGGACAGTTATTTCCAAACCTCGGTGAATTTCAGGTCTTCCCTCTGAGCACAATGAAACATGTTTTCTGGTGAGTCTGAGCTGAACTCACAAAGTGCTTGAAACACAACAGACAAGTATGCAGAAGAAAGCAAAATGTGCTCCTTCTTACCTAGCTGTTTCTATTATCCATACTTTAGAGCTGCGGCGAACAACCTGGGTGCAGAGGCATATCTGCAACAGCCTAGGAATTAAAATATCCTTTCTCCTAACTATGCCTAACTGATAGACAATTAACTGTTCAGAATGTTTGTTGAGCCAACCATCCACTTTAGCTCTGATTAAATTTTTTTGATTTGTGCCAATATGCATTCTTAATACACAAACTGTGACTGTATCTTCATTAGAAGCTTTGAATAACAATATAGACTGAACAGAGTTTTTAAAAACACTTTTAGCTGTTTGGGGAAGCCTAGTGAGCAGCTGAACTCTTAACAGTGTATTTTCTTCCCATTTTCACAGGAGAAGAAAATGCTAACTTTCCACTAGCAGGTTGTAGAGAGAAAGATTTTTTTAACCTCAAAGTTCACAGACCTCCTGAATTCTAAGTACTGACTGTGGACCCCAAGGATAAAAAGCAGTGGTATTATGTGCACATATTGTTAGTGTACACTCGCTCTGACCAACGATGCCCTTGAAATAGTATGAACATGTGTATGACTTTTTGTGCCAGCAGCAAAAGGGCAAACATATCTGATTCAGCCAAAATCACTGACAGCCTGGCCCCATGGAGCTCCTTCCCAGATGTAGCTTTCTCTTGAAGCACTGAAAACATCTGGACCCATCCTGGATAGATGTTTCTTGAGTAGCCAGGGGTCAGTCGACCTGCAGGTCACAGAGGTTGCCTGATCCTTGCAAGGTCGGTGGAACCATATGGTCCATACCTCTCAGTGACTAAACATAACAATGGGACCAGACATTCTTTTAAAGATATTTCCCCAGAGATAACAATAGAAACAAAAATTTTTCTTGTATTCACTAAGATTATAGACATGGAATTTGGAGCAATTGCATAAGGATCTTCAAGGTGTATTTCTAAAATAACCCCCAAAGCAGTCTCAAGCTAACAAATAATAAGTCAAGGGGCCACCAATGGGGATGCCAAAAAGGGAGTATTCTGCAGCTCAGAGATTTGGGGTAAATGTCAGAAACACACCACACACACACACACACACACACACACACACACACACACAAAACCGCTAAAAGACTAGATTGGACCAGTGGCCCGTCAACATCCTTCATTTTCCAGACCACAAATTAATGCCCAGAATCATGACTTGAGCACTTTTGCTCACAATAGCCAGTCCAATCAATGGCATAAACAAGTGATTTTCTAGCTTACTTTCTAGAAATAGGGCAGTTGGTGGCTCAGCCATCTGTCAGAACTCCTCACATTACTGGCTGAAATATCTGACCTCTTTCCATTGGTGGGGGGGTGGAATGATTATTCATCAATACCTGGGCTACTTTTTCCATTTTACTTTTACAACAATGGTAAATGATGATCATCTATTATGATCAGGGGCGTGGCTCAGAGCCAGGCCAAGTAGTCTCTGTCATCTGAACGTTCTGCTTCAAGATCTGCAGCTTCAGTTCTTTTTCCATTTCTGACCAGACTTTTACCCCAAATAAGGTGCATATCTTTGAAGAGGCTGTTCATTGACTTTAGGATCCCTGCAGTGGGAGGGATCTCAAGTCTTATGAAAAGAAATAATTTAAGCCCTAGAAGCCTGCCATATGTCCAATCCCAAATTATGCAAAGGAGATGTGGTCTGTCAGAATTTTTTTAAAAGAAGAATGTTTCCTAATTATGGAAATTTGTGCTTTAATCATCATTAATAGAACTGAGAGAATGGAAGAAAATCTACTTGGATGGAATTTAACTTCCAAGCAATGCTTCTATAAAATGTCTTTTAACAAAAGATTAGGATTCATGCTAAAAGACCTTCCAAAATAGTATTAAGGAATCAAAATAACTGAATTTATGTAATAACCATGCCTCTCATTAGACTTGTTGCAATAAAATAGTATGAAATAATAGGATAGAGCCATTTTCTGAGTTACTTAACTTTTGTTAAGAAGCTTGTCTTGCATACTAATAAAGGACCATCTTTGGAGAAAACAGTTGTATAGTTGAAATGAAGAAAACTGGATGCCTGGAGGGGGGAAAACCAACCTTAAATCATATGCTTATTCTTAATGGAATATTAAATTAAATTCTTCACAATGAAGGTATTTCTGACAGAGTGGCTGTCAGTCACTCTTGGTTCGACACCACATTGTGGGAACATAGCCACTGCCACATTGCAGAAGGCTGTGTCCCTGGTAGAGATGATGCATATCATGTAAACCTCATCACCAAGATCAAAGTCTGCTTCTTTCATGGAAGCCAATACATGTCAAACCTCATTCCAATCAAATCGTCTGGAAATGAATTCAAGATGAATATGTCATAGAATAATGTGACAGTGGAACTGCAGAAGGTCAGGGGTGGTTGTTTCAATGATCGAGTCGTCAAATATTAATTCTAAAAAGTCCAGATGAGTAGGCATTGAGGGCTAATCCTCCGGCTGCTGGGGGAATGTTGTGTCATTGATTTATGTGCAAATGCATCAAACACCAAGGTGTTATTCTAAGTTTCACTTGAACTCTTGAGACGTGCCCAAACTTACAACTCAGTATAATCAAAATAGGAAACAAACAAAAAACATGCTTTGCATATAAAAGCACAAAAAAGAAGTAACCAAAAATTAAAACTTCGGTAATCTATATTTAAATTAGTACTTTGTTTTTCACTTACTTGATTCTTTCAGATGATTTCTGTAAAGCCGTAACCGTTTCCTCATCACCAAAGACGTCTTGTATCTCATTCTCTGAGTTTGAGCCTATTTGAGAAGAAAAGGGCTTAGTTAGACACTGTCATACGTGTTTCTTCGGCAAGAATCTGTGATCCGAATATATCGAATAAATATATTAGTCTGAAATCTTCTAGTTTTTCTTTAGCCATTTTCAAATTTTGAAACTAAAGAAAAACATCGCTGGTGAATACTAATATTTGTTGTAAAATGACATGGCATATGCTGATAATAAAAGTATTGAAAAATTCTAATTTCATATCTAGAATGGTATCTCAAAGGTATTTACTACTCTGCCTTGCAGTGTTCAAAAATGTGTAGCTTGTAGAATTTGAAATTTTGAGAAGACCACATTATTTTTTCAAGTTTGTTATTTACACTGGGTGAGGTGGTTAAGGGCCTCTGACTCTCTGGAGGTGTGTGGTTATGCTTAGTTGCAATATTAGAATGAAGAAATCTGCAGATTTCAGAACCCGTTCTGTCTGTAGAGGTGAATAATCTTTTAGTCTCACATGATATATATCACCAGACCCACTTAAGAGCTGTCACTGGTTCATTTTTCAAAGCTAATATTGCATCCCACCAGATTAAAAAAGTACCAATGTTATCATTTCATCCAGACTTTCCCCATTTTGCGGTTTAGAAGATTAGAAGTAACACCTCTCTCTTTCAAGATACATGCATTACTTGTCAGTGGCTGGGGCTGCCCCGAGTTTGGCAACCATAAATCCTTAAAATCATAATAAGGACCTGTATGTCTGTCAGGCGAAGCTGAAGGCAGTGGAGCAGCCAGTCAGTCCACCTAACACTGACCTTCAATGTGGCTTAGAAAGACAGTCATTGAAAAAGATCTCAGGCTGGACAAACACAGCAAGCCCTCAGTCAATGGGATGTCTGCCTGTCTTGACACTCCAGCACACAGAACAAGCAGCTGTTTAACTTGTTGAACCACAGGGTAAATCCAAGTGATGCTGGGCTATAGAAGAGGGGTTCCAATTTTCTATGTTTCTCTCACACCCAACTTAGACTCAAACAAGCCTTGGGTCTCCATCCTTTCTTGTCTCTTCTTTTACAGGCATAAGCTTAAGACATGATGAGTAGACTCACCTTTTCCCAGAGGATTTTTTTTTTCATTTCTTTCTAACCCAAATGTATCTTTTCATAAAGGTAATAAGCTCTTAGCACAGACCAGGAAGCAAGGGAGGCCCAGCTTTGCATTCCTACAGAAGGGCAGTTGGAGTATCCTCACTGCAAATGTCCTCATGGTGGGATGTCTGGCACCACAGTTCCTGGTTGGTTGGCAATAATAGAATTTTCTTGTTTGCTTCTAAGGGAAAGGGGTGTAAGTTTCCCCTTGAAACTTCTGTCCACCCACAATGCTGGCACAGCCCAACTTCTAGGAGGTCTGGGTCACTCGTGCCCTCCTGCCCTATTAGCCCTTTATACAATACTGATGGTGTCATAGGCATGTAAATAAATGTTGCAAAGGTTGAACAGGCAGACAAGAAGGACCTTAAGAAAGAAACTCTGTGGTAGCTCCATCACCTAGCCGGTGCAAGGAACGAGGGTAAACAACTCTTTGGTTCAAATTCTAAAACCGTATAGCCAGTTATCTTGCTGAAAGAACAACTAGAGAATTTGGGGGTTGTCCCTGTGCCCCTGAATCTAAGGTCCTCAGGATAAGAGCTCTGACAAGCTCTTAGTTAGATTTTTTTCTTGCTCTTGGGGTGTTTTTTTTTCTATCGTTTGCTACCAACTCAGCCAGAAGAGCAACCAGGAATCTGCCTGTATCGGACCTTTGAGGGAAAGAAAAGTGCTACCAAGCCCAGCGATTGGTAGTGCCAGCCCAGAGCCAAGAAGGTGGGACGGTTGATAGTGCAAAAGGCATTTTTTGGGGGGGGGAGACATGGAGGCTGCCTGTTGTGGGGTGGACCTAGTCCATAGAGGCCTGTCTAAAGTCAGAGGTCACCTAGAGCTGGAGACTTTAGTTCCCAAGGTGTTGCATACTGATTTACTCTCAGGAGCTGGGGCAAAGTCATGAGTGCTTGCCGCTAGACCTCGGCCATGGCAACCCCAGAGCAAAAGCCTCCAGGCGATCTGGGAGCCACCCCGAGTCAAACAGGAGAACTGCTGCTGGCTTTAGCTACTGTTGCCAGCTGCACCCCCATCTCCCTGGCTCCCCTCCATGAGGCCTTGAAGCACCGAGAAATTGAGTTGAGACCCTGGATGGTGCAACCCCCCTTTCTTTTTTCCTTTAAAGGTAGAAACTCGGACTTTCCAGCTCACTGTTGAAGGCTGGGCAACCCTCCCTCCGGTGCCCAGAGTCAAGCCTGCACCAGCGGGTCACCAGCAGATAATCTAGCCTGGGCTTTTAAGCATCAACCCCAGTCCCAAAGTACAGGCTCCTAAGGCAGAGGAAGGGAAAACCCCCTTGCAGTTGCGAAGGTCGGAGGTCTCTGCCAGGCCTTGGCATCCAAATGTAGTTCCCTGTAAACAATGCGGGGAATGCAGCAGCCTTTCAACGCTCTTCTCTCCATTTCTCAGACTTCGCTCTCTGTCAACTGTCCCTGTGGGCCATTTGTCAACCCCAAACTTTTCGGCTCAGACTTTGCACCAGAACTAACTCTTTCACATCTCAAATCCGTTCCCTTTTCTCTTGCCGGCAATGTCTTATGCTCCTGGGTCTATGCTGCGGCCTATTCCAAAAGAGCTAATCGCTGCACACATTCGCATCAGGAGAGGAAGAAAAAAAAAAAAAAAAAAAAAAAAAAAAAGGACAAGCCCGAACCCACGGCCCGGCACAACAGAGCAGATGCTAGAGTTGAAGAGCTATGAGACAGAACTAAGATGCGGACTGGCAAGCAGCCGGCCGGAGGCGAGCCCAGCCAGCATCCTCAGTAACTGAAGAAGTTTTACAGTGTAGCAGTGGCCAGAATTAACTTGGCTTTTAGACCCTGGAACTGGTAAAGAGAAACCCTTCCCTAGCCTTGCCTGAGGGAAAAGCAGAGAAGCTACAGGCGTGGAGCCCCTCGCGGTCACCTTCTCAGTTTCCTCCGCACAAGAAAGCGATTGGGCAGTTTTACCCTTTTTGTGGCCACGGTGGGAACACTCCGGCAATTTACAAGAAGGAAGGCAGAAGGGCAACAAGCTGCTTTTGGCGCCACTGCCAGTGGGAGCCCCATCTGCCTTTCTTGCACCCACCTCTCCTGAGAGGAAGAGAAGGAGGCATCCTCATCGCTGCCCCCCCGCCGCAGAGGGGCTCCTCCCCCCCCCCTTAGAACCAGTGGGGTGGGGCCTGTACCCGCGGTTGCTGGGGGGTGGGGGTTGGGGTTGGGGACGAAGGAGGAGATAGGGAAGAAAGTCTGACTGGGTCTCTGGGACCAGCGGGGTTCGGGGTTGGGGGGGTCAGTGGTCCCAGTAAGGACACTTGCTAGGCGAATGCTGTAGATACGGGTCTCCCCTGTTTGTCCCCTGGTCTCAAATCACTTACCCTGCTCCACCTGTTGCCCGGATCACCTCATTTCTGAACGTCACTTTGGGGTGGCTGAGGGGAACCACAAACCCCTCTAAGTCTCTTTTGTGGTTCCATCGATTCAGTCATCCTTCATTTCCCATTTTCCAGCTTTCGGGGACGCAGTTAGGGAATGTATGATGAAGCAGAAATGAGCCGTCAGGATGATATTTTAATGGCTTATATGTCACGTTGGTGCATGTGGCTTTGAACTGGAGCCGCTCTCGTTTCCTGCAGAGAGCGCCGCAAATCCCACTTGATAACTTCTACAATCCACAACTTTTTTTTTCTCACCTTTACTCTTACCCTGGATATTTGGACGAGTTTCGTAAAAATACTCTCTGTCAATGTCCCCGGTGGATATTCCACGTACTGGAGAAGACCGACTTTTCTTTTTTGAAGAATTATTTTCCCTCCCACCTCCTAATAGCCACCCTTCCTCTCACCCTTGTTTTTTTGTTTTTGTTTGTTTTTGTTTTTTTTTCCTCTAAAAGCTGTAGAGGTGGATTCAATATTTGTTTTCCCTAGTGAGAGAGCATTGTAGCCTCTAGAGGAAATGTTTCCTTGAATACAAGGCTTTCAGGGTTCTAGGACCCAACTTCCCCTTGTCAGAGCTGAAAGAACTCAAGGTTCTGTTTTTTTTTTTTTCAAACAAAATATATAATAGATTTTAAATTAAAACAGCCTTGTGCTCCAATCCTTTCCCTCACTCCTCACCAGGTTACCACTCAGACTAAGTATGGAATACTGGGCCACTGTACTCAGACTTGTTGCTGGGGACAAAACATCATTTCTTCCTGTCTTCATAGAATTTTTATTCCCTAGCACCACAAACACAAATCTCTCCAGACCCTGAGAAACCATAGCCATCCACAACCTGACTTCTTAACCAGGGAGCCTGGGCAAAGGGCAGCCCAGTTAGGCTTTGGAAATCAGAATGTACTGATGAGACTAGCAAACCAGAAAGGTGAGGAGTGGCGGCAGCTGACCATGCCTTCCTCCAGCCCTGGGAAGCTAGTCAGTAAAGGAGGGAGGGAGAGAGGGAGAGAGGGAGAAAGGGAGGGAGGGAGAGAGAGAGAGAGAGAGAGAGAGAGAGAGAGAGAGAGAGAGATCATTTTCATTTTCCTCTTGCCTGGGGAACTGGTAAGTTTCCTAACCCTGCAGCGGGTGAAAGGATGAGTTGAAGCCTCTTTGTCTGGGAAAGAGTTTAGGACTCTGATTCAGCTGCAAAGAAGCCAAATGAAGTTAGAAACAAAGGGCAAATTGAAGGATTCCGACTCTTGGCTTTTTGTGTTTTCCTTACTAGAAAATAATTAGATCTAATGAATATGCAGGCTCTAAGGCTAAATCCTGGGCTGGGCTGTTGGGTTTAAACTCAGCTAAGGAGAAATGCAACCTTCATCCCCTGATCCTTGCATCCGCGGGCATTTTTTGAAATGTATAAATGTCGCTCGGTTTAATTGATTGAGTCACAGGGATTTTTTCCCTGCTTTTAAATGCCATACTCCTCTACCTTCCAACAATCATTTTAATATATAGTCAATGGTTCTTTGTGGATGGGACAAAAAGCAACTACGCGCAGTTGTTGAATAGACTTTGCGCTGGGCAAAGACAGGTTAATCGAGGGCCGCATCGCGAAAACAAGCGAGTGTTGTATGTTTGCACTGAATCCAAATGTCTGCATTTTCCTAACTAAATCAAAGGGAGTGTTATTTCTTTTTCTGCTCACTCATCTGAAGGTAAGTAAATTTTCTCTGGCGATCAAAAGCCTGGTCCGCAACAAAGACCGCGCCCGCTTTTTCTACCGTCCTGTTGTGGCAAGTTGCGGAATTTCAATAACTGTGACAAGGGTGACTGATTTGTGAACTAGAAAAGGTTTGAATGTCACAAAATTTACATTGGTCCTATCTATCTGGGATTTAAATACCAAAAAAGTATTCCAGGATCTCTAGGGAGCTTTGAGCAATCCCGAGGAACAATGGCCCGTTAGGAAATTTACAGTTTTACCTGAATGAAAGGAGCCTGGGGATGGGAACAGGAGGGTAAAGGGAACCGGGTGGGGGTGGGGGCAAGGCAGACAACGGACCCGAGAACAGAAAAAAAAAAAAAGAAAAAGAAAAAAAAAAAGAGGGAGGGTGAGAGATTGGCAACAAGGTTTCCAAATCGCCATTAAAAAAGAAAACCCAACAAACGACTGTAGATAAGAAAAGTTAAGAGTTCCTATCCACCTGTGTTTACGCGGGGTGGGGGCACACAAAAGAAGCTTGGAAAACTGAGGCTACCGGCAACACCGAGAACTTACATTTCCAGTAAAGAGACTAGCTACCCAGGCGCTCCCGAATCTTAAATTATAAACAGGAGGGAGGCCTGGTAAAAAGGAAGCAAACTTCAAAAGGAGCAAATAACAAAAGCCTTCTTTGCTGCCCTTGAAGGGGGGAGAAGGGGAGGGAGAGAGAAAAGAAAGTTGCTGAATCGGGACATTCTAGAAGTGCCTTTGGGGTGTTTATCAGCCTGTCCCCTACTGCTGCTCTCTGGGACGCCGGGGGTCTCTGGTCTATAATCGCTTAGTGGAGGTTTAAGGAGGAGAAGGACTGAGAGAGACAGATAGACAGATGGACAGAGAAAGAAAAAGAGAGAGGAGAGGAGGAGAGGGGAGAGAAGAGCGAGGGGGATGGGGACCATGAAGGAGGGAAGAGGGAGAGGAGAGAGTGAGAGAGAAGAGAGAAGACAGAGTGGGGAGAGAGACATTCTGAGAAGGAAAAGGAATCGTGGCTTTTTTTTTTTTTTTTTTTTTTTTCCGTGAGAAGAGGGGAAAAATTTGCCAGGAAAAAAAAAAAAGTTGCTACTCCTGGCAGCCCTGTTTGTCAAAAGGGGATGTCAAGCGCTTTACAATACCTGGGATTGATGAGGCGGGCGGGCCAATGAGCAGCGCGCGGCGCCTTGGCGCGCCCTCCGTTGGCGCGGCGGCCGCGGGCGGGGGGAAGGCGGGTTCGCCAATCGGCGTCCGCGTCGGCAGCACGTGACGCCTCCCCCAGCTCCCATTCATCAAGGGGGGGGGACGGTGTCGTCCTTTCAATTCATTTATCTGCAGGAATGATTGCTGCTATCAGTCTCGCGCTCACCGCCCGGCTGAGGAGGTGAAAGTTTCTCCCCAGGAAGATAAACCGCAAAAGACAATATTGTGCATGATTTGCGCCTTTTCTTTGCTTTTTCTCCCCCCCCCTTTATTTTTTTTTTTGCAAAAAGCAGAGGAAAAAAGGAGAGTGAAGGAGCGAAGAGGCGAGCCTGAGAGAAAGAACAGAGAGAGGAGGGAGAGATAGCGAGAGAGCAAGAGAGAGAGAGAGAGAGAGAGAGAGAGAGAGAGAGAGAGAGAGGAGAGAGAGAGAACGGGCGAGGGGCTAGCGGAGAAGCGAGGAGGGGCGCGCTGCGCGAGGGGAGAGCAAGCAGCCGCGGCTCTCGCGCTCACATTCCTCTATGCCACAAATCCGGGAGGAAGTTTTATCCGGGGGCTGAGATGTTCCATGCCTTTCCCCGGGCAGCCTTGATCCGAGGCCCTTTCGGCAGAGACTGAGCAGCGAGAAAGTGCAGACGCGGCGGGCGCGCTGCAAGCGGCCGGCGCTCGGAGCCCAGCCTCTACCGCTCGCAGGGCATCCCGCGTCCCCGCGCTGGGCCGGGCGGGCGCCCGCTCGAGCCCGGCCGCTGCCTGCAGGCTAAGACTTCGCTAGGTGGGTCGGCTCCCCCTCCCTCCTCCTCCTCTTCCTCCTCTTCCTCCGCCTCCCGTTCCTCCTCCTCCCGATCTTCCCTCCTCGGCGGGCGAGGGTGGGGGGGGCGGGGGAGGCCGGGGCTCGCCCCGTGCAGCCACGATGCTCCTGGACGCCGGCCCCCAGTATCCCGCGATCGGTGTGACCACCTTTGGCGCGTCCCGCCACCACTCGGCGGGCGACGTGGCCGAGCGAGACGTGGGCCTGGGCATCAACCCGTTCGCCGACGGCATGGGCGCCTTCAAGCTCAACCCCAGCTCGCACGAACTGGCCTCGGCCGGCCAGACAGCCTTCACGTCGCAGGCGCCCGGCTACGCGGCCGCCGCGGCCCTGGGCCACCACCACCACCCGGGCCACGTCGGCTCCTACTCGAGCGCGGCTTTCAATTCTACGCGGGACTTTCTGTTCCGCAACCGGGGCTTCGGCGACGCGGCGGCGGCAGCCAGCGCGCAGCACAGTCTCTTCGCCGCCTCGGCCGGCGGCTTCGGGGGTCCGCACGGCCACACGGACGCCGCGGGCCATCTCCTTTTTCCTGGGCTTCACGAGCAAGCGGCGGGCCACGCGTCGCCCAACGTGGTCAACGGGCAGATGCGGCTGGGCTTCTCCGGGGACATGTACCCGAGGCCAGAACAGTACGGCCAGGTGACTAGCCCACGGTCGGAGCACTACGCCGCGCCACAGCTCCACGGCTATGGGCCCATGAACGTGAACATGGCTGCACATCACGGCGCCGGCGCCTTCTTCCGCTACATGCGCCAACCCATCAAGCAAGAGCTCATCTGTAAGTGGATCGAGCCGGAGCAGCTGGCTAACCCCAAAAAGTCGTGCAACAAAACTTTCAGCACCATGCACGAGCTGGTCACGCACGTCACCGTGGAGCACGTCGGCGGCCCAGAGCAGAGTAACCACATCTGCTTCTGGGAGGAGTGTCCGCGCGAGGGCAAGCCCTTCAAAGCCAAATACAAACTGGTCAACCACATTCGCGTGCACACGGGCGAGAAGCCTTTCCCCTGCCCTTTCCCTGGCTGCGGCAAGGTCTTCGCACGTTCAGAGAACCTAAAGATCCACAAAAGGACGCACACAGGTATGGAAACTACGGTTGGACACTCTACCCCTACACCGGCCTGAGATTCGAAAGTTAGTGGCTGGGAGACACAAACCGAGCCTCAGTGGAGTTCCTGCAGGCCTCAGGCTCCAGGAGGCAGGCAGCGAGTGTGCTCTGATTTTTAGTTCGTGTCTTGCAAGTGTGGGAAAACAGAGAGAGCAGACAAAAAGGATCTGAGGGTGCAGATTGCTAAAATGAGGAATAAATGGGGCTGGAAAACAGGAGGCCAAGCATGACTTGCCAGAGCCCTTGACAAGCTCGAATCTAGGAGCTGTGGAGCGCTTTGAACAGCCTCGGAGGCCCCAGTTGCCCCAGCTGCAAACAGATCTAAACTTATGCTGGTGCCAATATAATATCCCTTGGCAGGATTTTGTTGAACACTTTGCTACAGGAAAGATTGAGGAAGAGGTTGGGCTAAAGAATATAAAGAGAAAGAAAACAGAAAGAAACAGCCGGTGGGCACTCGCCGTAGAGAGGGGTGTAATTTGGAATTGAGGCATTTAGGTTTATGCATATTTGAAGAACTAAATTTTAGAGGTGAAAGTGGTAGGATGGGACTGAGGAGTGAGGGTAGTGGAAGTCGGAGTCCTTGTTGTCAGTTACATCGTGTTGGGAGCTGTTCTTGAAATGCGGGGTCCGGGAGTTGGTCTTTAAAAATACAAACAGATCGAAAGTTTTAAAACAAACAAAACAACAAAACAAGTTCTAGACAACCCAGGGCTACGGGTGTGGGGTGTGGGGTGTGGGGTGTGTGCGGGGGGGGGCAAGTTGAAAGTTCTGAGCTCTTTGTGCCCAAGAGGTCACCTATCCACACTCCTTATTTTGCTGCTTCGGCTAAAAGAGCACCAGGCTTGGAACTTTGGGTTTGATGGGCCAAGTCGGGAAAGAGCAGCTTTGAACCCCTTCCCACTTTCCAGATTACACTATAAAAAGTGAGTGTACGTAGGGGGTGAGGTAGGTGGGGGAGGCGACCCTGGGGCGCAGAGCGTCTGGGAGAAAGGGGAGAGAAGAGTAGGGCCCCAGGAGGATCAGCCGCAGCTCGTAAAGGAGAACCGGGAAGAGCGAGGCAGAAGACACTGGATGTCTTCTGTGCAGACCCGGGCGGAGAAGCCAGCATCCAGATCTGGTGCTTCTCTGGGATTGGGGGAGGGTGGAGAGAAAAACAACGAACTGTTACTGCTACTTCTACTGCCAAAGGTACTACTATTACTAAGTAATAGTAAAATACAGATTTAATTGTCTTGGGTGTTAAACGATAGTTATCCGTCATTCCTTAGCATATATATGAATTTATTAAAGTCCCGGATTTTAAGCTCGCAACGCGTATTCCGGCCAGTTGGCTTTTAGTCTATTACGTTTTACGTATTAAAATTTGGAAACAGCCACGAATTTATTTTAAATAAGACCCTCTTTTTCTCCCCCTTCGCACCAGGAGAGAAGCCCTTCAAGTGCGAGTTCGAGGGCTGCGACCGGCGCTTCGCCAACAGCAGCGACCGCAAGAAACACATGCACGTCCACACGAGTGACAAGCCCTACCTTTGCAAGATGTGCGATAAGTCCTACACGCACCCCAGCTCGCTGCGCAAACACATGAAGGTAATGGTTGCTGGGCCACCCGGCTGCAGTCCGCGGTCCTCCCAGGCCGGGCTCCAGCAGCCGCTGCAGCCTCGGGGCCGGGAGAGCGGCAGGAGGCGGGAGGCGGCGGTTCCAGTCTGCTGAGTGGAGCTGGGCGGGGCGGCGGAGCTCTGCAAACCGCGAGGTCTAAACTCACTGTCTTAGAAAGACGGTGAGAAGGAGGTGAGGCGGGGAGCGCAGCTAGGCCAGCGGCCGCGAGTGCCGCGGCGGGACGGCGGAGGAGAAGTGGGGTTCTGCGCGTGGGTCTCGGGACACCTGCTTCCCCCCGCTCCCCCCGCAGGCGGGCCAAGGTTAGGGGGCGAGTGGTCCTAGGCTGCGGCCTCTTACACAGCGTCTTCTTTCCCAGGCCTTCTTTTCTCTTGAGAATGCCTGGGACGTTGTCCCCTCCCGGAGCGTGGCCTGGCGGGGCGACGGAGGGTGAACCCGGCCCGAGTCTCATTGCAGAATGAGGGAGACCCAGGGCTCCGGAGGAAGCGGGCGCAGCCCTCCTAGCATTGGGTGGCCGCTGAGCCTGCTGCTCTGCACCTCCATAAAAACGCAACTTCATTCCTGCAGGTCCACGAATCCTCCTCTCAGGGCTCGCAGCCTTCGCCTGCCGCCAGCTCCGGCTACGAGTCGTCCACGCCACCCACCATCGTGTCTCCCTCCACAGACAACCCGACCACTAGCTCTATGTCGCCCTCCTCCTCTGCGGTCCACCACACAGCCGGCCACAGCGCGCTCTCCTCCAATTTTAACGAATGGTACGTTTAAAATCAGAAACAAAACATAGCGAACAAAACCCTATTTAAGAGACTGAACACACATGTATAACAGTATTATTGAAAGAACCCTGCGAATCAAAACAACCCCTCACACAGACCCGGCGATCGTATATCTTTTTTTTTCCAACCTGACGTAGACCCAGGACTAAGAGAGGAAGCAGCAAGTCTTTAATTTTTTTTTCTTTTCCTGTTCTTTCTTTTTCTGTTTTTGGAAAAGGCTTGGTAGCTCAAGGGCGGGAGGGGGTCGAAGAGGAGGCGGCAGCCTGACCAAAGGCCTCCAACCCAGAGGGGCCAATCCTTGGATGGATCAGGCTCTCTGGGGCTGCAAATTTTTGCTTTTTGCCCCCTATTCTTCTTGCTTCATTTTCTTGTAAATACAGAATTATTAGCTTAAATCTGTTCTGTTGGATTCTGTATATAGTTACACTCGGTTGGAGTGGGTGGGTGGGATCGTGGCGTGGTGGTCTTTGCATTGTTTTTTTTTGGGGAGGGGAGAAAGGGAGGGGTGGGCGGTCGAAAAGCCAACTGTTTGTACTGAGTGGCGAGAATGTTCTAGTAAATGTGTACCAAAATGTGAATTTCTTTGTACGATTACAGTCTCCGCGTCGACCTAACAGAATATTCTTGGTATTAATGTGCTTCTTTTTGTATAAAGTGCAAACATTTCGTCCCAAAGTCTGAGTACTTCAGTGCAGTAAAATGTTGTTTCATGTCCTGTCAAGAATCCGTACTCGTATAGTAGGAGCCTGGATCTGCGTGTCAAACTGTTCCATTTGTTCATGTAAAGTGATATTAAAAAAGATATAAACTATAGCTGTCCGTTGCTTTTGGCAAAATATACAACCACACAATGTATATAATTCCTAGTTTCCATATTTATCCGCATGTAAAGGGCCCGGTTTATCCATGTTACAGGTATTCAATATTTATGGCTAGAAAACCTCGTATGTACACTTTAGTTTCCAGAACTGTTTGGTAACCTTTCGTACCTTATTAAAGAATCTTAAATCTCAGTGATTGTAGTAGGAATTTCTTCTTCACCCCCCCTCTCTACAACCTGTGCCAATCTTAGTGGGTCTCCTGAAAAGCTCTCCAGACTCTCTGGCCTTCCCGTTCTGTCATTGCAGGCCGTATAAACGTGATAAATGACGCTACCCTGCTGGCTCTCCGAGAGGCTGTAATTAGTATTTATATCAAAATTTATGAAACAAATTTTCGGCCGCAGTATAATTTAAATGACCTTTGCAGACATAGAATAACAACCATAAAAATAACGGAAATAGATTGCACAGGCAGCATCAATATTAATGTAAGCGAATTGTGAGCCGCTTAGGGGCTCGCTCTGCAGCCTTGCAAATGAACTTGCAGCCATTCAAGGGTTCAGTAGCCCCCCTCCAAATTAAATTCCCTGGTCTGAAACTGGATTGCAGATTTACTATATTATATTTTAAATTGCTGTCGTCAATTAAACCGTTATGGTCATAACTAACTTTCAGGGTGTCGATGCACGCTTTTCCAGGCCTTCCATCTTTGTACAAAAGTAAATGTCCATAAAGCATTTCACTTATATTTTTCAAGCGTGATGCTAATTTAAATTAATTACTTCCTATGATATATTATTCTTCCTACAATTTTGCTACTGTTATTAGTTCTCTCAAAAATACATCTAGAAAAGGAAATTATTTTATGTAATGTGATTATCTTTCTATCTCTTTTATTTATTTCTCATTTACTTAAGAAATTCGTTCCATTGGCTGGCGTTGATACAGTAAATTTGTAAATGAGGAGACAATATAAAAAATCTAAATTACTTGTGCTTAATGACTGTGGCAGAACGCCTTTTCTCTAAATCAGATTGTCTTTCTTGCAGTTTAGTTTGATAGATTTGCAAGCTATGCTGCTTCTGCGAAGTTAGCTTCACTGGTAGGATGCTGGCTTCTTTGTCTCTGGTTGTGGCTTGCATGATCGCCCCATTAGGCAGACAGCAGCCAGAACTCACAAATCAGGCCCTTAGCTATGGCTGCAAGGGTGTGAGCATGTTGGAGCAGGTTGGGGTCACCTGCTTGCACTTCTTTTCTCTGTGTGTCCTGGAAGTTCCAGGCAAAACAACAAACAAACAAACCCAAGAGCCTTTAAGATCCTTATATCTGTTTCAGGGAAATATCACTTTTTGAGATTATACAACTGGCTAGTTACAAAATAAAAATATTGTGTACTCTTTAAAAATCATCTCTTGCTATTCGAATTTCTCACATTTAGTCAACACAGTCTTATTTAATAATAATGATGAAGTGTTTTGCTGTATTTCCCTTAACACATCAAAAAGTGGAAATAAGTGATGTTTAACTTTTTAAAAATCTTGTTCTGACTTTTAACAGTAATACCGGCCTTACATGAAAAGAGAACCACCTTGCAAAAGGCTGAATACCTAAGCAAGAATTACTGTTATCCCCCCCCCCAGAAATTTATGAGATTAAAGCCTGCCCCTGGTACAGTTTTGGAGGTTTAAGACTGGTTAACTGCGTAGTATTTAAAGTGACTCGCAATTGAACCCAACAGGTAAAAAGAGAAAGAGGCGTATGATAGCTCATCTTTTTAGGAAGAACAACAGCTGGGCTAGCAATTTGTCTCCTTTTTATTAAAGATAATTGATGTCAATATGTTAGAAATTGTGATTTCTGATCATTTAAGAAGAAAACTTAGGAAATTATCTTGGCTTCAGTCATTTTGAAATTAAGTTTATTTTACATTTGAAACTGTGTCTGATTATTTGTTATGTACCTAGTGCCTCTTTTGCTTCAGTATCATAGTATAAGAATTAAATATGACATAGGAGTTATGTAGAATATGTCAAAGATGCATTTTTAAAAGTAAATGCTTATTTTAAATATTCATGCAGATTTTTAAGGTCAAATAATTTTATTGCTACTTGAGAAGCCCTCTGTGTGCATATAGAAATAATCTCATTGCAAAGGAACTTTTATAATAGATGCCAACATTTATGCCAAACCCACTCTCCATTCCTTCCTCCAACACCCACCACAAAGAAAGTCATTAATGATGTAAGTCTCCAAAATAATGCTTTAAACTTAAATGTAGTCTATTATTTTGCTGGTACCTTTAATGTCTGCTTGTTGAGATGTGTTCTTCATACTTTTTCTTCATGGGTTATTAGGTTTTGAAATACATGCATGTGAACAGAGAAATATATTGTTAGACTCTATTTAGCAGGAGCTGAAGATGCTGCAAATGGCTGGTTTCTATGTGTAGTTGTGGATTTTGATTTAAGCAGAAGGCCGTAGTGGTTCATATTGCATACTGCATTGTATTCTGGGTACTATCAAATGATTAGGACAGCTAACAAGTGATTAAAATGTTATTTTGTGTCAACAGAAAGTGCCTGAGTACAAGCAATCATATTTGAGAAATGAAGAGAAATGAATTTGATATGTGTGTGTGCATTCATAGAACAAGCATATAAATATACAAGCACCATTTATATGGGGGCTAAGTAATTCTCAAACATTTCAAATCCTTTGTTTTCTTCTTCAAACGCTACCCCCAGCTGCTTTAAGCATTTGCAGCTGATGATTTTGATTTTTTAAAGTCAAGCATTCAAGTTAACCTTTAAGAAGCAAACCACCTTCTAAAGAAAGATGTAACCTTTCAATTGCCCAATCTGCTTATTTATTTATTTATTTATTTATTTATTTATTATTTATTTAGCTGACAATGAAAATAGCACTAACCTTCTTTCCTGATGGGCTTGGCATTTAGATATTTTTATTTGTTGATTGTGAAGTTTTCTCAGAACTTTTAAAGGCTTAGCAACAGAAGTGCAATATCAAACATTTTACCCAGCCCTCAAATGTCCCAAAACTTCCCTTTTGAGGCCAAGAAGTAATTACTGCCCTGGACCTTGTGAATCAGTGCTGGTAGAGTATCTGAGTAGTATCTGATCATACTACTGTCCCAAAAGTGACTGGAAGAAGACCTTGGGTCTGAAAGGGTGCATTCAGTGTTAAGATGTTCTGAAGGTTAACTGCATGTGGTCTGACATATTCAAAAGGAAAATGTTGGATTTATTTCCTCAGTCATTTGTGGGCTAGATAGGAAGACATCAGATTTTACACATTTCCATCTTCTGTTTCTTCTCATTGCTCCAACTTAAAATACTAATCGCTCCTTGTTAGGTACAGAGCTCCAGACTCCCCTTAGCATCAGTTGTAGCTCTCAGAATTATGTATCAATGAGGATAAAACATGCTGTTTTCATAAAGATGGTCACAGTTGATAACACTCTGGTTTTGGTATTCTTGAAAACAGAGTAACAGTGGAAGGACTGACCATTTCTGTCAGTCCAGCCACTAAAGCCCTGCATAACTCATAAGGCTTTTTCCTCTTCATTTTAAAACAGCATCAGTGGATACAATATATACTGATTCATACTGGTAAGATATAGAACATAAGATTTTTCCGGGTATAATCATATAACAGTCTTTTTCCCCCAAATAACAATGATGAATTTGAGGCAAGTAATTAAAATGTTAACTTAAAACATCACATTTAAGACTCAAAGTCTATGGGAAACATGACAGTACCATAATGTAAACATATGAACAATGTTTTCCTTCAATTAATGCAAGGCTGGTTGGCTTAGCGCTCACAGGCAGCAAGAGGAAACACACCACACAAACTAGAGCTGTTTGTATCTTGCAAGGTGGAGTTTTTCACCATCTTTTAGGTTGGCTACCACTTTAGATTCCAAATGATGTATTAGAGGTAAGTTTTTCAACACTAAGAAATGGGATTTAGCTATCTAGTGTGGAAATTATGTCTGCCAATGATGATGCCAGAGACCCATATCATTGAATTCTGATTGCTTCCAGGGGTCAAGCAGTACTTCTGTAGGCACTCAGGAGAATGCACAGCCTGTGAAAGTTACCCAGAGATGTGCCCATCGATAGGACACATGTTACCTCCTGAATGTGGGCATGAACACATTGTAATATGAATCTTTAACAGCATTGTGAGGCTTTAGACCTTAGGAAACATAAAACAAAAAGCCTCATTCGTCTTTTGTGTAACAATTTCATCAGCTACAGAAAATCTGGACATAAACTGAGAGAAAGTCAGATGGCGATTCTTTCATTTTTTTTCTGTCTATGCGGGAAACTTTCAGCCTCTAACAAAGAAAGCTAAAGTTATGGAAGCAGAGGAAGCCAAGAGAAAGGATGGCATAGGGAGTGCCGATGTGGACTTCGGTTGGGAGGATTATTTGAAAAGTATAGAAACAAGCCTGGGGACTGAACATAGGTGGACCAGAGTTCCCTTCTCGAGCCCCTGTACATAAGGTCGGGCCACACAAGGTCCCCGGGGCAACGTAAGTGGCCTTCGGCAGCCTGGATGGGTTTCCACGTCCCCGCGGCGGAGAGCCGGACCAGCAGCGCGCATGCGCGGCTCTCGGCCCAGGCCTCCACGTGCTGATGAATATGCATAGCACCCCTCCACCCCCACCCCCGCCCTTAGCGGGTAGAGGAGGGAACCGTGGAAGCTCCAGCGTGTGAAAGTCTCTGGCCCGGCTCCCAAAATAGTGCGGTGGGGAAGCTGCACGTGTTTGTTTTCAAACCGCGCTGGTTTAAGTGCGTTCACAATGCCAGCAGCGGCTCGTGCAACTTGCGGCCTCCTCTACCCGCTACCCAGAGTGGCACCAAAGGTGCAGGGTTCCCTTCTCAGAGCGCCTGAATGGTGGATTGATGAACTGAGTGGGCCACATATCCTGCGGCTGGCCTCCTGACTTGCACCTGGTCCACTCTGGATTCCCTCTAGTCCTATCCTGCTCTTCTCAGTCTTGGAGCTGGCACCCTCGCTGTTCTCACATCCCATCCCATGCTCCTCCTACAAAACTTTCCCTGGACTCACTTGGCCCCAGAGGGCCCAGAACTGACTGGGCATAGGGGTGGTGCAGGGAAAGGGCAAAAGGGAGTTTACCAGAGGCTGCCCTCTACTCTTTGGAGGGCTGAGCCCGTTTGGATGCTTGCCTATGTTTTGTGATCCTCCTCCCCGCCCCTTCCGCTTGCTCTCCGTCTCTCCTCCAATGACCCAGCATCCCATTTACTGCACTAGATGCTATTTGCTGGAGCAGCCATCCTAGGATCTTTTATGGATCCTTCCAATATATCAGTCATTTTGCTTGTCTGTGCGATGCAAATGTGAAGATTAGTGCACGCAACTGCCTTGACCTAGAGAACAGCAAGTGTGGACTTCAAACGTGGATCATTGCTTTTCTCTCCTCCTGACATTTTTTGGAGTTCTATGCACTGTATGGTATTTTTGAGACCTGCAGATTATTTTCAGAATAAGTGTATAGCCTGCCTGATGGAGTGAGTGTATTTATAAAATTGTAAACAAAAGGGAGTAGTGGAGAGTCTCCCCAGTCAACTCTATCTTTTCCTCGAAATACAGAATTAATGCCTTTTAGGTGTTTTAATGAAAACCCTGTCCAAGGATGGCAGAAATAGCAGAAATCAACACATTAAGTCCTCTTTTGGACTTCACTTTCAGCTGACTAAGTAGAGCCATTTGATGGAGCCCACAGCTCTTGATTTCCTTACTGTCAACAGTGAAAGCCTTGGTCCCTGCCCAGTTCACACGCCTCAGAGCCAACCTCCACCTACCAGTTCCAGGAGCCCTGCCATCCTTTTACCTGACTACAGATATGCCAGATCTGCTGCTTTCTACTTGACAAAGGGGAGGTTTTGGAAATGTTTTTGCCAAGGCAAGGCCTCTCTTCCCAGCCAGCCCGGTAGCTCAATACCATTCTTACTCAACCAGTTTCACTGCTCAGTAAGAAGAGGTTGGTCAGAGGAGGGTGTTCACTGAAAGTCCCTTGCTTACCTCCCTGTTCCTTCCCAACCGAGGGTTAGGCCCACGGGGAGGCCTAGTCGAAGCCACTCACCCTCTACTTTCCCCCCAAAGCGGTTGGGACACAAGGGTTCAGTTCTCCCGAGGTTCTCACAGGTCAGCCCTCTCGCGCCTGGTCAGCGGCACAGAATCCCGGAAACTCGAGTCATTCCACTTTCCTAAGCACATTCTATGTTTGACTACCCGGCCAGAAGCGGCCAAGCCTCGGGACTCCAGCTAGAAGCGAAGACTGGTGCCTGGCTTGTTATAAGTAGAAAGCTCAAAGCCAGCGTGTGTTCCTGCGTCTTTCCCCTAAGACCAAAGGCCCCAATCCCTTCTCTTTTGGCGAGGGCTGGAGGAAGGGAGGGGCGGGGAGGTATGGGATGGGGTCGGCACACTGTAGGGTCCGGCGCCGACAGCCGCGGCTCAGCTCGGCCGCTGCCTCCCAGTCCACAGAGCGGTGGTCCTGCTTTGGCCTGCCTGGGCCTGGGGAGTCCGGATCTGGGAAGCCGAGGCCTTCAAAACCAGGGCCTGGGGATCTGGGGCCTGCCGAGTCGGGGGCCTGGAGAGCTCAGTGGACAGTGCCAGAGCCCCAGAGACGCGGAGGCTCAGGTTCGAGAGCGGACTGGTGGCTCCTCAGCCTCCACCAGGCCACCTCGACTTCATTCTGCAGAGGCGACCGCGGGGCAACAGCGGGGATGTGGGAGCCAGGGAAGGGGTCCCCCGAACAGCCCAGCCACCATTTGTGCCTTAGCCCTTGCCCAAATTGCTTGTCTCCAGTACGAATGACTGTCCGCTCGGCCTCAATCAGCTGCCATCTCTGTCTGAAATCTAGACCCCAGATCGGTAAGTGCAGTTCTTCTCGCTACCCCGGCGCGCCGCCGCTGCATCTTTCCCTCCCTGCCCCGGGCTCTCTGCGGCCTGAGCGCGTGGCCGAGGCGCGCCACCAACTCCAGCTTTGTGGAGCAGCCAAGCCCTGGCAGCCTTTGCCACCGCCCGGGCGTGTGGCCGCGAGGGTCCGGAGCAGAAGGGAACCCTCCTCCACAGATAGGCGCGAGCAGCAAGAGCCCAGCCCTGCTCTCATGGGTCCTCCTTGGCCCTGTGGTCACTAAAATCATCCTTTAAAAGGCTAGCTTTATGTGGGTCCCTGAGCTGAGCAGGAGAGTTGCTTCTCTTCCCAAGCAGATCCTAATTACTAAGGTGCCAGGCCAGAGCCTTTCACGCTTTATTGGGATTCTGCGAAGTTTTCATTACTACTTAAAGATTTCTGTGCGTCATAGCTTTCAAGTGTGTACGCCTCTTTGGGGACATTTTACCAGTTGCTTTGTCCACTAACACTGCTCCCTTCCCACAAGAAAAAATAAACATAATTTAAAAAATCAGTTGCCTTAGGACACGTCATTTACATTTCACCAAGTGAAGATCGAAAGAAAAAAGAAAATCAGGCCCGGCATTTCTTGTTGGGGCCCCAGTGTGCTCTATTATTGAAATGTGAGAGATGGATTTTGGCGGGGGAGGGGAGGCTGGGTGCTGGAAAAGGGCTTTTGAACTCCTTTGCCCTGTTGCACGGCCTGACCTTTGGCTGACACGGCCACGGAGCAGGCCGTTCGTTAACGAGGATTTGATACATTAGACATTCCAGCTGGGCGTGTAAACCCACGCTCTGAATCCAGATTTCGCTTAAATTAGTGTTCTAGGAAATGATCTTTCTAAGTCCTGAGGCTTAACCAAGTGTCAGGCAGGCCCTGAAAAGGGCAGCGAAGGATACCGAGTAAAAGGCACATCCCCAGCTCTTTAAATAAGTAAATAACAAGAAGTAAAACAAAATGAAACAATTTTTGAATAATTCCTTAAATCCTTGAGGGCTCCACATTGGGCTAATGCTTATAAACAAGGCTGAGCACCTTTTAATGTATTCCATTCTGAGAAAACCGAACACGAGGCAACATTGTGAAGGCAGTGTGGCAGTATGGGGAGATATATAATATATATTATATATAGTATATATCCACATATGTGGACGTATATTTCACTCTCAGGATATATTAGAGTGTGACTATATCGGTCAGGCAGTGGATCAAACATGGAGGAGATGACCACAGGTTTTAAACCCTTTAAGAAGTTGGCGCATCTCCATTTAATTTAGTTGAATAACTTAGCCCTAGACTTTGGAGCCCAGATAAGGCAGATTGGCCACGAGGTCCAGTCGTTGCGCGGCGGAGGCTGCCTGGTCCCGGGCCTTGCAGCTGGAGACGTCGCAACGGCGGTGGGCCAGGAAAGCACTAAGGCTCACCCGCATTTATTGACCACGGAAAAAGGGGTCCTTTCGTTTCTCTAGGTTCTCATCAGAGCTCTGTTAGAGGACCAGGAACCAGGGTTCCTCCATTCCTGCTACAGCTCTCAGTTATTGGGGAGCTGAAATTCGCCCCAGCCGTCCGCAGTTTGCCCACTCCAGCATGGAGTGCGTCTTTCTGTGCCTGGCGACCTCCAAGGCGGGTTCCTGCAGCCCAGGCTTTGAGAGCGCAGCGCTGAGCACCTCACCGCCCTCTTTCTCGCCGGCCGGGTTTTGCTAGAGCATCGTCGGATGTGTTCCTGTGACCCGATTTTTTTACTGGAGAGAAGTAAGCTGAGCAAATTTCGGCCTCAAATCCAGAGTCTGCCTCTATTCCCTCCAGTCCTCTGGGTGTCGATTGAAAGACGGAAATTCAGTGAGTCAACTACTATTTAAAAAAAATCCAAAACTAAAGAGTAAGCACATCAGGGAGAACAGTCGTTCTTTCAAAAGTCTAAGTTAGTCGGGACAGGAAGGTCCTGCGTAGATGTGGGTTTGTCTTCCAGTCCTCTGGGCGCAGATACCGGTCTTGGAGCGGTGGCATTCCACATTTGAGTTCCCTGGCCTTAGGATGTGTGCTACTTGGCGGGGGTGGGGGGG